ATAAGAAGCAAGTCAAAGGAGGAAAAGATCACCATGGATTACACACAGCTCACTGAATACCTCTGCTTCATGTGGTCAATGTAGCCAAAACAAGTAAACATAATATTTCAATTCAAATGAGAAGAAATCAAATATAAAAATGCCAATATATAGAAAAGCATCTTACATGCTCCCAAAATACTGACTGTGCCACCCCCCATAAGAAAACAGATGTTTCCAACAGAGAAATTAAAAGAAAGACAACAGTAAAGGCAAAATAACCACCCAAGAAAAAAACGGAATCAGAAGACTGCAACCTTACTTTCATAAGAAATGAAAGTTATAAAATACAAAATAAGGATTCATAAAATATGAAATAAAGCACATGAAATTGAAGCTGAGGGAAACTAATGTTTCTGACTCAACAAATTATAAGACACTGATCAAAACAAGTTATTACACCACAATAGGATACTATGAAATTTACTGCAACTACATGTAATAAACAAAACTGCTACAAGCTGCAAAAACACTGGGCATTCACTCACTCACTGATAAAAATTCACATAAGCACTATAAACATTGCTCTAACTAAAAAAACTAAAGGCATTCTCTTTTCTCAGTATGCCTCCTCAGTTTTTCAGGCATGCTACTTAAGATTCACTGAAAAACCTTTCCCTTCTGTATTTCTTTATAAACACAGTACTAACTCCTCTTCCAACACATAGGAGAGTTTACCCATCTGGAGCTGAGAGCAGATGCCATAAGGCTTGGATTTCCACATGTGTTTTCTTTCTCCAGTCAAAGCAGTCATTCTTCAGTTTGCTCTTCTGTGCCCTACCTCCTGAGTACAAGAGATGGGAGCCTATCAGGGTCTGAAGAAAGTCTTCCTTTCTATCAGTTGTCCTCCTCAAGCCAGCAAGTGAACATTTTCAAGGAGCTATGTGCTTCATCCCTCACTCCTCAGAAGCTTAGCCTTACCCTAAAACTAGTCTAGCCCTCTTGGCTTAATGTTAGGTATGATCTTCATAGGACCAGCACATGGGCTCATATCCTGTTCTCCTTTATGCCAGTTTTCTCCTTGGAATCTCAACACATACGGACTCCGTAGGGATCCTAGATCTCTAGCCAAGAGTTTGGCTTAGAGTTCAGGTTAAGGAGGAAAAAATCCAGGAACGTGGTGCTCTTGATGAATCAAAAATCAGTGTCCTACAAACTGGAAGGCAGATGCCTTCTTGAGAGAAATGCTTCTGTAATTAGATTCTCATTTCTTGGTTACTTGTCAATAATGAGAACCTACCTACAACTATGTTAAATCTTTATCCACCTGAAGAATACATGGTACATTCTGTCCTCCAGCTTCTGCCTTCCATTTGGAAGCCCAACTAATTTTGGTTTAGTAATTATCTCAGGCCTTCTGCCTTTGCTTTTTTATTTTGGCCAAAATCTAAGCCTAGTGAAGACCTTCATTTAATATTAAGTTGTGAAAACTTGTTTGATGCAAAGATTACAACCCTTCCGTTTCCTGTTGTCAGCCCTCACTTGTCCTATGTACTTTGTCAGGACCCTGAGTGCACTAATAGGCCTTAGCAGCCCCAACAAGCCCCACCTGTCCCCACCCATCAGCTCAAGAGCCCCATTTAAGCTGAGCCCTGGGCCTTCAGTCCATACCTGAGCTATGCTGTATGAGTGTATGTTTCCAGCTCAGCCATGTTCATCTGGATCTGGACTTAAAGACTGACTTCCTAGCTTGACCTCAGTCTTTTTTGTATCAGTATGGACCTGCCAGGCAATCACTAAGTTATGTTTGACCCCTGTTATCCTCACTGGACCCGACCCTAACCTGTGGGCTGCCTTCCCAGCTTGACCTTGGACGTGCCTCATTGCTTACCTGATGATCTGGACTCTTAGCTGAAACTGGTGTGCCCTGCTTGCTTTGCACAGGTACTGTGGGACTAGGTTCTAGTAGTGAGGCTCTGTCCTATCACCTGTGTTACCATGCCTGGGCTCCTGCCCTTTATCGAGCAGCCAGCCCTCACTGCTCCTGATGGTTTTCCATATTACCTTCAAAATAAACCCAGTATTTCTATACTTAGTTGCACAATCCCAACAATAACTCACATGTGGAAACCAAGTGAAACACATTTTTTTTTTTAACACTACAAAATCCTGTGATTAATTCTCTAATTCTAGGCCTGAACATTAAACATTAATTCCTTTTGATTCAACAGCCCTCTATTTTTCTCCTCCTGTTTGCAACCTGAATATTACCCTTTTGAGTCTCACCACGTTTATGTCCCCATTTCAATATGGAGAGTGAGTTGTTCCCCCTAATTTTTACTAGCCCTGATGATTGGAATTTAGCTTGAAACCCCTCTAAAGCTGAGAACAGTCGCTTCTTGTTCCACTAATTTCGGTATTATTTCCCCCCCCCCAAAAGGCTGCTGCTAAAAAAAAACAAATAAACCCTCAGCTTAACTATTTGCTGTGGCCCTTCCTATACTATGCCAAAGGTTAAGCACAGCACTTAATTTGTGCAAACTGAGATCTAGCCCAAAGATACTACAAATCACTCTGGTGTTATGCCTTAGCTTTCAAAGGCAGCTTGTGTTTGCTACAACTCCACAAATTTTTTTAGATTTTTCTCTTCATAGCCATAATTTCAGGTGTATGGTTAACACAGAAGAAAAGACCCATAAACCAAGCATGTTAAATCCTAAACCATCCTCCCTTTCCAATTCCAACCCTTCCGAGGACAGACTTGTTAAGTAGGAATAAGCTCCACATTTCACACCTTTTTCTTCAGAATATTAAGTGCAACTGTGGGCCTTACACTTGGCACATGTATCCACTGCCAAGCCATATATTCACACAGTCACATATTAATTCTGACTGAAACCCTTCTCTTTGACATCTAGGTTGGTATTTTAAAGGAAGTAAGTTCTATGTGGTAGCAATTCTATTTCCCATCATTACCTCTAACCCCAACATAAGAAAATGCAAAAAAGCCCTACTTGAGTAGAAGGTTTGTCAGCTATACAGGAGCTATATTCACATCTAGATCAACTGGGACCTCACCACCTGTAAGCAGGGAAAGAATGGCATTTAGTGGAGACCAGTGTCCCAGGGATAATTAGCTGTATGTAGTTATTCATACCTACATCTTTCACCAGAACTACAGTAATAGTTTATTTAAACTTCATGAAAAGTGATAAAATCCTCATTCAACTGAAGCTAAGTGCAAAACTTCTGAACTGGAAGTCGAGCTTTCACCTGGCCAGTGAAAGGTTGACTTTGCCTGTGGTGTTGAGCACCATCTAGTGTCCTCACAGTAGCCAAGGAGATACATTTCTTCGAGCCTTTAGTTGAATGAGCATCGAAGAAAAAAAAAAAGGCAAAAAAAAAAGGCAGCATGGCTTAAGGTGAAGTTGCTCTGTGCCAGGGAACTTATTTCTGACTTTTGTGGACTCTCAACAGTGTTGTTTTTCTCCAATGGCACCTGCAGCACCGTGCATTTAGTTATCAGTTGTCCTGAATATAATCCAAAATCTAGTTTCTAACATTTTTCATTGAAACACCAAATGTAGCAGGATAAGCAATCATAAATTCAATTTTGCAGCGGCTTTTATATACTGCCTCACAAGGACCCACTACATCCCACAAGAAAAATGGCAGAAAATCCTACGTGAATGTATTTATTTACACCCAAACAAAAAATGTCTTTAATATCTTTCATTTCTTATTTGACATCTCTTTTTAAATTGTCTTTTAGCCTTCTTTTTAACTGTAGCTGGATGTGTGTGAACTGTTGCCACCACTGCTTCTCTGTCACTTCAGTCACAGAATTCAGTGCTGACTGCCAATGAGTCAGCGATTCCCAACACTAACGGAGAATAATAGTCAAGGTTTTGACAAATCAAATGGATTTGAAATCCATTTCACTCATAGTTGAGTCAATTTGTGAAGCAGTTAAGAAAGAAGTTAAAACAGCTCCCAGCAGCAGTATGAGAAAACGGTAGTTTTCCCATTACTCTGGGATACAACAAATTAGTAGTAAGTTTTCATTTTACATATAATGCTATGCAGTTACTGATTTTAACTAGCTCAGGAAGTACGCGCTTAAGTTACTGAATTCAGGCAAGTGTTGGAACACCTTCTGCACAAGCAAACTGTCCAAACATCATTGTGGTGCACATCAGTTAACTGCACATGACTAAATCAGATTTTTTTCGTCAGTTTAGATGATCTTTCAGCGTCATTGAAGGCTTTTTCCCAGTACCGTATTTCCTAATAATTTAATTCAATAGAAATATGCTAGTAATACATATTTATGTATAAACATATACTGTTTTTTAAGTACATATATGTCAGTTGTTAGAGACTATTCCACAACCTAATAGTCTCCACTGGTATTTCTCTCAACACATCGCACCTGGGTAACACAGCCAACTGTCAAAACGCAACAATTTGAGTTTCTGGTCTCCTCCAGTGCCTGCGCAATTAAAACAAACATGCTCTAACGGGCAGCGCGGGAAAAGCTGAGTGCTGTGCCAGGCCACTGGGCACGGGCCCGTTCACCCCAGCATGCTCGAGGCCGGCGCTCTGCGCGCGCTGCTGCGGGGCTGCCCACACCTGGCCTCTCCTCCGCCACCACATGAAGCAGCACTAGCGCTGAAAAGACGGCGGCTCGGGGCCGGCGGCCACAGCCGCGCCGGCGGTAACCGAAGAATGAATATAGGAGACGAGCAGCGATACGCGGCCGCCGCCATGGGCGTCGCCCGCCATTTTGGGCGAGGCCAACCACACTACAGAGAGGCGCGGGCCCGAGCCAAGATGGCCGCCCAGCGGGGCAGAACCAACCGGCTGCCCAAGCCAAGATGGCCGCC